GGAGGATGAGGAGGATGAGGAGGAGGAGGAGGAGGAGGAGGAGGGGGGAGGATGACGAGGTGGACGAGGAATCGGGGGAGGAGGAGGAGAAGGAGGAGGAGGTGGAAGAGGACGAGGGGGAGGATGAGGAGGAGGTGGAGGAGGAGGAGGAATAATGGGAGGAGGACGAGGAGGCGGAGGACGATGACCGCGAGGAAGAGTATGCAGATGCCGCTGATGATGGTGATGGTGACAAGGATGATGATGATGCTGATGATGCTGATGATGATGGTGATGATGGTGATGCTGATACTGATGATGGTGATGCTGGTGCTGATGAGGATGATGCTGCTGCTGATGCTGATGATGCTGATGATTAAGATGACGAGGAAGACGAGGAGCAGGAAGAGGAGGAGGAGGAGACGGAGGAGAAGGAGGAGGCGGAGGAGGTGAGGGGGTGGGAAGGAGGAGGAGGACGAGGAGGAGGGGGAGGAAGAAGATGAGGAGGCGGATGATGATGGTGATGCTGATGCTGATGCTGATGCTGCTGCTGCTGCTGATGATGATGATGATGATGCTGATGTGGATGATGCTGATGCTGATGCTGATGATGATGATGAGGAGGAGGATGAGGTGGAGATGGAGCAGGAAGAGGAGGATGCGGAGGAAGAGGAGGAGGATGAGGACCAGTGCGCACCCAATACTCATCAACGATGTTGGAATTCACCCTACCACCAAGCTCCGACTTTACAGACTCCTGCAAGGATTTATTTCTACTGAGGTAAGTGCCTGGTTGGGAGACAACTGTTTGAAAAACCTGAAGCATGCCAAAACACCATTCTCGACGGGACTCCAGCGCCACGAATCAGTCTGACTGTTGCTGCTGCGTCTTTCCGATCTTGAATCGTGCCAAAACACCATCTCTGGGACTTCAACACCGCGGATCAACGTAACTGTTGCGCCCTGACAGTCCTGAACCATTCCGAATCACAACTCCTGGTGCGCTGACAATGGGAACCAACAACAATACGGCAAATGAATAAGACGAATGTGCGCGGCCCTCAGGCGAGAACAACATATAGAAAAGGAACCACCCTCAACCCGTGAAGCTTCTGCACATTTCTAAAGATGTACGCGGCGCTAACGCGAGAACAATAGTTTGAAAACAGCCCGCCCACAATTTGTGGCACTTCTGCACATGTTGAAGTTGATTGTGCGCGGCGCTAAGGCGAGAGCCACATTTTGAAAACCGCCCGCCATCCATCTGTGAACCTGTTCCCAATCTTTAAACTTCAGGCTCATCATGGTAAAGAAATCTCAGGCGAAACGCCTGGCCCGTCCTTCCGACTGGCCTCGGGGTGCGACAGGGAGGAGGAGGAGGAGGGGGAGGAGGAGGAGGAGGAGGAGGAGGAAGATGAGGAGGAGGAAGATGAGGAGGAGGAGAAGGACGCAGCCGTAGCCTTTCTGGCTCAAGCTTCCGGAGGTTTTCCCAGGGAACCGAACTGACACCGCTGATCCATGGTCACTGTAACCCATTCGCCAAGTCCGCCCCCAGCTGAACCGCTCGCTGGTCCTCCCCGTCGACGGCGTCTTTCGTGCAGCCCCTGTCCAGCAGGGAGCTGGTACGGTCCCAGACCAGGCGATGGTGGGTTGAGGTTGCAAGCAATGTAATGCGTGGAACCGGGGGGCCAAATCCAAGTGCTTCAAATGTGGCGGTGGCGGCTATCGGCCACACGGACCAGCACAAAGAAACTCACCCCAAAAGGACCGCAGGGGAAGTGGGCTTGGGCAGGAAGAACCCAAAGAGGACTACGAAACCAGCAGGGACCTTCGGATGTCCCGCAGCAGATCTCCAGGGCACAGCACAAGATGCTTCAAGTGGAGCAGCGGACAGAGAGGGCACGCGACAACGCAGCCGAGGCAGCCATGGCAGTGGTGGACGCAGGGCCAGCAGTGGTCGCAGCCAAATCAGAACTGGAGGAAGCGAGGCGCAGTGCATCCCAGAAGCTTGGACAGAGCGCTCAAGCATCAGCCATTAGACAAGAAGTGTGGGATGGACTTGGCAAACTCAAAGAACTCCTTACCACAGTCACGTCACCAGCAGGGGCAGCAGGTAAACCAGCCGAGGAGGCCAAGGAGGCAAAGGCCGCCATCGAGAAGCTCACGGCGCTGCGCAAGCAGGTCCTTACCAGGACTGATGACGGTGCTGATGGCGGTGCTGGCAATGGTAGCGCTGGAAGTGGGGCAGGCGCAGAAGCAGTCGCAGCAGCAGCAGCGGAGGACTCGCGCCAATGGGTGCCGACGACGACCCAGATCTCTCTGGACCAGCAGCGGCGAGTGCCAGACCTGATGGCAACGTGGAACGGAGAA